GGGTGGGGGCTGGCTGGTTTGCCCTGAAGGGTGTCCTGGATCAGGGTGGGGGTCCCGCTTGGGTGCCTGGCCAGCCTGGATGAGGGGATGATGGCTGTTTGCAGCTGGTCACACCCCCTTCAGGGTGGGGGTCCCCACTGGGGTGCCTGGCCAGTCTGGGTGAGGGGCTGAGGGCTGTTTTCAGGCTGGCGGGTGACTGAAGCTCCCAACCTGTCCTTTTTTTCTTTTTTTTTTTATTCTGGGCCAGCTTTAGCTCTGAGGCTTGGCTCCAGCTATGAGGCCTCCGCTGCTGAAAGCAGGTTTCTGGCCTTTGTTTACCTTCTGTATTTGAAACAATGTTGCAGTCCTGCTGGCTTAAGCCCGGCAGGTTTCTGGGGTTTTGTTTAGCTTCTATATTTGTTACAATGTTTCTTAGAGTTGCAGCTCAGAGGCCGGCAAGGCAGGCAGGGAAGCTTGGATTCCTCCGTCACTGGAGCAAGCAAGCCTCCCTGTTTGCGTCAGCTGCCTGGCTGCCGGCCGCCATCTTGGTTGGCAGTTAATTTGCATATCTCAGTGATTAGCCAATGGGAAGGGTAGCGGCCGTATGGCTAATTACCATGTTTCTCTTTTATTAGATAGAATATTTGGCTGATATTTCTTATTTTTCTTAGAGTAAAGATAAAACTGTGTTCTTCTTTGAAGTGGAAAAGAATTATAAACCAATTGGTTATATTAATACTCCTGGACCTGTTATCCAGTTAGTATGGTCTCCGGTCTCTCATGTAAGTAGTTATTATTGGTCTTCATGCTTAAATCTTAATTACTACACAATGAAGTGACCTGATAGATAGAGAATAGCAGGCGCAATTATTAGCCCAATTCCTGGCTTCTGCATTGAGGGACCAGGATGCTGCTCAGCTTGGCTATTAGTATATCCTCAGGAGCTTCACATTCTCCCCACTACCCCTCTTCCTTCCACACTCTAATTAGTTGGCCACAGTCCCCTCTGAAAACATTCGGTTATATCCAGCTTTGCTTCAACAGTGGTGCCTTATCTTGATAACACAATATGTCAGAACTAGAGGCCTGGTGCATGGATTCCTATACCAGTGGGGTCCCTCAGCCTGGCCTGTGGGGATCGGGATGAAACTGACTTTCTGACATGCCCCGAGGGGTCCCAGATTGTGAGAGGGCACAGGCCAAGCCAAGGGAGCCCACGATCAGGGCTGGGGAGCGATCACAGGAGGGCTCCAGTGCATGCCACGCCCATCTCACCCAGTCCCTATTGGCTGGACCCCAGCAGCAAGCTAACCTACCAGTCAGAGTGTCTGCCCCCCTGGTGGTCAGTGCGTGTCATAGCGACTGGTTGAATGGTTGACTAGTTAGACACTTAGCATATTGGGCTTTTATAAATAGGATATGTTGACTTGGGTCTGTCAGTCATTCTGATGTTCACCAAGTTCTTTTCTAAGGTCTTTACTTCTCTTCTGCTCCCATCCCACATCCATTTTCACTTCTAATCTTCCATTCCCTCTTTCTTAACAACTACTAGTGATTTAGTATTGAGTACTAATCTTGTGTAATGCCTATAATTTCCCTAAGTTTGCTCAAAGGATAATTCAGCCATCTGAATAGTGATTAAATTTCTAAACTGGGTGCTGTACTAGGTTCCAGGATAATAATAATACTGGTGATCTACATAGAAGTGATGTCAGGATTACTGGGTTAACATCTATAATCTGTTTTAAGATCTTCTAAAGAAAAGGATAGAAAAATATAGTAGTAATATCAAGAAAAGTGTCTTAAAATTAACAATGCTCATTGTTTTTTTAAATGCATTTATTTATTTTTTTAATTACAATTGACATACAATATTATATTAGTTTCAGGTATACAACACATTGATTAGACATTTATAAAACTCATTAAATGATCACCCTGATAAATCTAGTATCCATCTGACACCATACATAGTTATTACAATATTATTAACTATAATAATCCCTATGTTATACTTTATATCCCTATGACTATTCTATAACACTAATTTGTACGTCTTAATCCTCTCACCCCAATTCTCTCTCCCCTCTGGCAACCCTTAAAATGTTCTTTGTATCTATGAGTCTGCTTCTGTTCTGCTTATTTATTTTTTAGATTCCACATATACTAGTAAGTAAAATCATATGGCATTTATCTTCCTCTGTCTGACTTATTTCTTTAAAAAATATTTTTATTGATTTCAGAGAGGAAGCGAGAGGGAGATAGAAACATCAATGATGAGAGAGAATCATTGATTGACTACCTCCTGCACTCCCCCTACTGGGGATCGAGCCTGAAACCCAGGCAAGTGTCCTGACCAGGAATCAAACCATGACCTCTTGGTTCATAGTTCAATGCTCAATCACTGAGCAACACTAGCCGGGCTGTCTGACTTATTTCACTCAGCACAATACCCTCTAGTTTCACCCATGTTATTTCAGATGGCAAGATTTCATTCTTTTTTATGGCTGAGTCTTATTCCATTGTATATATGCACCAATTCTTCTTTATCAATTCATCAGTTGATGGACATTTAGGTTGTTTCCATATCTTGGCTATTGTAAATGATGCTACAATGAACATATTGATGTAAATGACATGTTTAATCTTTCTTTTTTAGCCTGAAAGTACTTTATTGATTTTCTGTGAGAATGGCTATGTCCTTGAAGCTCCATTTCCAACCATAAAGGCGGACGTGCAGGATGACAATATAGTTACCTATGAAATCAAAGACATGTGCATAAAATGTTTCCATTTCTCAAGTGTCAAATCTAAGATTCTGGTATGAGATATCCTTGAAGCATTATCTTTTAATATTTTGTTTGTTAGAATATAAAATATTCTGTGTTAAGTGCTGGGAAAATACAAAGAGGAATAAGACATAGGCAGTAGTGAATAGATATTAAAATCACAGCACAAAGAAAAGAATTTTAGGGGCATGCAGAGAAAAGAATATACGATTCTGATGGAAGCATGAAAGGAGGTCAAGAATGACTCTTTTGAGGTGACATTCAGTCCTTAAAAATTGAGAAGAATTTTGAAAGGTTGAAAATGAGGAGGAAGGCAATAAAAGTTGGGAGAACATCCTGGGGGAAGGCAGTCTTGTTTTGGTGTTTGGGGGAAATGAAGAATGAACTGATAAAATAGAGGGAGGCAGTTTGTGGTGGGATGTGGCAAATCTGTGACCAATACCTGGGACTCTAAATACTAGCCAAGATGTTTCCATTTATTTCTTAGACTATTGGAATCCATTAGGGTTTTTGTGGAGGGGATTGATGAGAGCATGTTAAATTAGAGATAATTCTGAGAGGTAAGCAGAATAAAGAGGTAAAAAATGAGAGTTAGGAATGCCAGTTTTAGGGGCTTTTTTCAATAATCAGTTGATAGTGCTGAGGGCCAAAGTCACAGTTTACTAAAAATAGAAACAACTTCCCTCATAGACTATTTCAGTGTTATGGGAAAAGGGGCCTGGACAATAGTGGGTCTGCCTAGAGCAAGCATGTCAAACTCGTGGGCCGAGGGTGGCATGTGGCCCACAACAAATATTTTTGCAGCTCAGCCAATATAACGGTATGTAAGAAACATTTTAATAAAAATTTCGTAACAATTTTTACAATATTCTGTTACACATAATTATTAATAACAAACTAAAACATTTGCTAATGACTGATTACTATAATCATGTATTCATTTCTGTTACCTGCCTTACACACAGGCGCACCATTCCTCTTCACCAGTACTAGCAGCAAATATTTTAGCAGCTGATTGCCACGTCATTAGTCTTGTACTGACTTGTTTGGTGTGCGCAACAGGAAATATTTCGCTTTCGGAGAGCAAGAAAAATAGGGTTATGCTGGAAGCAAATTCCAGCAGGTCATAATTATGCAAGAAGTTCATCAGAAGGCTGATGGATCTTGGGGCTTCAGCAGGGCTGAAAATCTGCATATATTATTACCTGATGCTGAACAGCTGTAGGCATTTCCCCTAACCTGATACTCTTTTCCTGTTTACCAAACTACCTGTTTGCATTCCTAAAGGGCCTGGCCAGCAAATAAAAAGCCGTGGGTCCGGAGATTCAGAGGGCCCACTTCACTAGCAAGTGGAACCTCCCCTGGCTCCCCCATGCCTCCCAAATTTATATTCCATGTCTAGTTTATTTAATTTACGTTGCAGCCCTTCTCCAGATTCTTGAACCCTTGCAGCTGCGGATAAGACCCCAGCAGGTTTATTTACATTACGCTTATTAATTTGTGCAGTTATTCAGTGTCTGGTAAGTTAATGTTGAAGAAAAAATATTAATTTTTATTAAAATGTTCTATTATTTTAAGTTAATGATTACTCATTGATTTCAGCCCTCTGTATTCAGCGTGTCTCTACAGAAATAAACCTATGTTTCTATGAAATTTTTTGCGGCCCAGATACACTTAAACCTTGTTTATTTGGCCCATGTTAGCCTTTGAGTTTGACATGCGTGGCCTAGAGCCTCCCATAGTCTGTGGGTTCTTAACTTCATGTAGGAAAAATTTCACAACAGGAGTCCAGGTGAATTCTGGAGGATGTTTATTATCGTTGGGGACAGTGAAACAAGAAAGGGCTGAGGAAATGAGCCTAGGCTTGTCTGCTTTGGCTCACTAAGAAGCTGGAAAAGGGAGGGTCTTGGGGACAGGTTCAGGGGTTTGCCCTGGCTTGTCGCTGCCCATTGGGCATGTTCCTGGGAAAGAGAGCTCACTAGGACCTTAGCATTAAGGGCTTTTAAAAAGGCTGGGTGTTTAGGAGAGGTCCTAAGGGAGGATCTCAATAGAATATTCATTTGTTTTATGCTGATGTGCCAAAATGAGATTTATTCCCTTAACTTCATATGTCCTTGGGTGTGGTTGGCAAATAGGACTAATTGGATTTCTGCTATCTATCTCCTTAAGTAGGGTGATTTAAGCTATTTACCCTCTTGTTGGGGAGAAGTGAAAACCATTTACTCATAAATGTCCCTGGTTAAGGAAGAAAGGATTTACTAGAGGGCTGCAAACTGCTGTTTAACTATCTGTCTCACACTAAGAAGCTGGAAAAGGGAGGGTCTTGGGGACAGGTTCAGGGGTTTGCCCTGGCTTGTCGCTGCCCATTGGGCATGTTCCTGGGAAAGAGAGCTCACTAGGACCTTAGCATTAAGGGCTTTTAAAAAGGCTGGGTGTTTAGGAGAGGTCCTAAGGGAGGATCTCAATAGAATATTCATTTGTTTTATGCTGATGTGCCAAAATGAGATTTATTCCCTTAACTTCATATGTCCTTGGGTGTGGTTGGCAAATAGGACTAATTGGATTAGGGGTCGCCTAAGACCATCGGAAAGCACATATATAATTACATATTGTTTTTGTGATTAATCACTATGCTTTAATTATGTTCAATTTGTAACAATGAAATTGGGGGTCAGAGGGCTGCAAACTGCTGTTTAACTATCTGTCTCAGTTTCCCTATTCCACTTGCTAAGAAATTTTCCTAGCTTCTTAAGTCCACCTAATTGTTGGTCTGACAGGGTTAGACTCTGAGAGAAACTGTATTTTGCTGTTTATTAGGGGAAAAAACCCCCCAATGAAATAATGTCTATAAAGCCAGGATCAGTTGTGGGGGTGAGGGCTAATATAGAAATAAAGTTATTCCAAAGATTTGAAAAATTTAGTGATACAAATATATCCCCAAATTGATATCTATTGAGTTTCTCTAGGACAGCGGTTCTCAACCTGTGAGTTGCGACCCTTTTGGGGGTCGAACGACCCTTTCACAGGGGTCGCCTAAGACCATCAGAAAGCACATATATAATTACATATTGTTTTTGTGATTAATCACTATGCTTTAATTATGTTCAATTTGTAACAATGAAATTGGGGGTCACCACAACAAGAGGAACTGTATTAAAGGGTTACAGCATTAGGAAGGTTGTGAACCACTGCTCTAGGATGTCTTCCTTCTACTTTCTTTGTCTTCCCCAATAGTGTAAATGAATGAATGATTGTAATGGTTTTTACATCTCCTTTATGTCTCTTTTGTAAAAGAGATTAATAGAAATTGAAAAGAGAAAGAAACAAAAGGAGTTGAAAGAGAAGGAAAAGGAAGAAAGGAGGATACGGCTAGCAGAGATGGAAGAAGAGGAGGTGGAGGATAAGAAAGAAGAGAAGGAGGAGGAGGTAGAGGAGGAGGCAGCGGCGGAGGAGGAGGAGGAGGAGCCATTACCCGAAATCTTTATTCCATCAACCCCCAGTCGCATCCTCTGTGGGTTTTACTCTGGACCAGGGAAGTTCTGGGTTTCTTTGGTGAGTAATCAAATCTAATAAAAGAGAAACATGCAAATTGACCGT